CTTCCATTTGAAGAAGAAATTAGGAAAACATGATAGAAGTGGATAGGATATTACGAAAATCATCAAACTCCATTATGAAACATTCGTGAAGATAAACGGGAGAGAGGAATACGAAAGAAAAAATTGTGTTGGTGATTGTAGGGAGACATAAAAAGAATGAATAGCAACTGGGAAGAACTGAAAATGCGAGCCCAGAACAGAGTTGGTTGTAGAATGCTGGTGGGTAATCCATGCCCACACGAGGAGTAACGGGTGTAACTGAACTCTTACTAAAAATGTTCTTCAGTTTATCTACCGTCGAAATGAATACAAAGCTCAGAACAAATTGAACGAACCACAAAGATTTGTGATTGACAGGAAGTTGTGTACCTGTGTAAATACTCGTAAATACTCATCATAAAAGGGTATTTATTGTCTTGTAATACACTGGTTCTTCATTTGTGATCGGGACCTATGTCACCTAATATCAGATGGATATGTTCACTGTTATGTCTTAACATATATTATGAATTTAAATGAAGACTATCAGTAGGAATACCGAAGCCCAGTTTCACGGTTTGGTTCGAACTCTGACTAATCAACTAAAGATGTCACCGAACTAACGGAGTCCATACATTCCGAATGTATTGTTCGAATAGATAAACCAATTAATTGTTGTGATAACAACTAATTATTTCAAAATAATATAATTATATTCTTACTATAAAGAAATATGATAGTGTATATAGGGATCAATTTATTCAAAGAGTGAAAGTACTGAAGATTTATCCATTTCTCAACTCAAAGATCTTGACTTTGGTTCTATTTGAAGTCTACCGATGTGTTTATTTTTTAAAAAAAGCCAATTGTACTGAGAAGTAGTCCGCTTCGATCTAATTTGTCTGTGAAACGTGACCATTAATAATAGATGATATTCGTAAGCCAGTAGTATTCGATAATAGTTGTCTGGAAAGTATCGCTGCTGTATCACAGAATGACCAAGTGAGTAATATTGAGTTTATGCATCAGGTACTCAGCAGAGGTGACAAATTAATGTATCTTTATCAACTGAGATGGTCAGGGAATGTATGAGGTATGCTTATCTACCGACTACATCGAAGTCCAATGATGGCTGAAGTAGGAGTAGATTGTAAGAACTCTGGGGACTGCCGAACCAAAACGCGGCAGTGGTTCATTCAAGTCTGAGCCATGTAAGTAGATCACCGGGTCGGGGTCCATGTGACTTTCATAACCAATCTTTAAAGACTTTGGATGATATGGCTCGAAATTATTCACAATAGCACAAGCTCATTCTCTCATTATCCTACCTTAGATCTTAAGTTTCTGGATTCTCGATAATTTTTCATTTCCCAAATTTATATTTCCATCTCAAATCGTATCTTCGATGCTCAAACGTTTCTATTACCACTGATACTGTTACTATCTCCATCACTCTGAGATTCACCTTGACAAATCCATCCCACTTTTTACCAATGGGTTATGGCAACTTAAACCAAACTACACGTGAGCCAAGTTCTATGTAGAGTATGACTGACTCATTATTGAACTTTGATCTCTAATTTCATTATAAAAATTGAGTATGTCTTTCCATGAATATTTCATGTAACCATTACATTTAGATGCTATTCTAAAGTGAAATTTTCTCTATTAAGTTAATACAATGATATAAGATCTAACATTAAACGCTAAATACATTGAATATTACATACATATTATAATAAATTGTACGGCCGTTTCGTCCTATTTGGGACTCCTCAGGACGAAACTGTCGTCCAGTGCTTCTAGGTTTTTCATGATGGTCTAGCTTCAATTGGCTATTGATTTCAACTACAAAATTACTATAATATCCACAAAACCTCCTTCTAATAATCCAATTATCATGGTGCTCACCAATGTAAGCAAGTATATCTATCATCTGTTATTTGTACAATATTGAATTAACTGGAGCTTACGTAGAAAATCCATAAGATACAGGTGTTTATTAACAGTTGTCTACGCAAAATACTTCGGATCCGTTGGAAGTGGATAGGACACACTTTGAAGAAATCACCCAACTGCATCACAAGACAATCCCTCACATGGAATCGTGAAGGCCAAAGGAGAAGAGGAGGACCAAAGAACACATTACTCCGAGAAATGGAAACAGATATGAGAAAAATGAACAAGAACTGGATAGGACCAGAAAGGAAGGCCCATTGTAGAGTGGGTTGTAGAATGCTGGTCGGCGGCCTATGCTCCATTGGAGGGTAACAGGCGTAAGTAAGTAAGTAAGTAAGTGATGTAGAAAATGCAAATACAATATTAACTATTACCTTTCATTTGACACATCCAAAAGCAATTTGTTCTTACCTTTAACCTACTCTGGTAATGCCGGTTTATTATCCAGCTTGATTGTCATGTATCATACTTTCTTAATAACTTATTGTCTTAATCTTTACTTTGTCTAGTTGATCTATTATGTTTTCAGGTATAAATATATTTGTAATCAAATTGTATTGCGAAATATATCCCATAATTCTGATAACCGTTGTTTTCTCACTGGATTATTCCCTACTTAATACTACTATACAATTAATTTTTTTTAGAAAAGTTCAATTTCTGAGGTGAAATCTCCGAACTAAATGATGGTCAGTGAAATTTTACATCTTAAGTAGAATCAGAAAATAAAACATTACTAATCAATAGACTATTTACTAATGTTTCAATTTAATAGTTGAGTTTATGAGTTAATTAACACTAGACCACCATGGGAATCCTGGAAGCACTGGACGACTGATTCATCCTATTATGGGACTCCTCAACGATGTTCATTCATGATCCCGCCTGCTGCTCGATTTCGTGGACTGTTTGAAGTTAGACATTAATACCTCTGAATATCGACTCAGTGATCTACAGGTTAAGCGTTGGTGCGTGAGACTGATAAGTCCTGGGTTCAAATCCTGTGAACGAGAACGTAGATGCGCAGTGTTGAAGTGTCCCATACTAGGACGAAACGGCCATCCAGTGTTTCCAGACTTTCCATTTATTTATTATCAGCATTCGGTATTATAGTAACTTTTTTATGACAATCATTATACAAGAAACATAGTACTGGCTATAATAACAAATAATATACTTACTTACTTACTTACGCCTGTTACCCCTCGTCGAAGAGCATAGGCCGCTCACCAGCATTCTCCATCCAACTCTGTCCTGAGCCTTCCTTTCCAGTTCTTCCCAGCTACTGTTCAGCCTTTTCATATCGGCTTCTATTTCCAGGCGTAGTGTGTTCTTTGGCCTTCCTCTTTTCCGCTTCCCTTCCGGATTCCAAGTTAGGGATTGAGTCGTGATGCACATTGGTGATTTCCTTAATGTATGTCCGATCCACTTCCAACGTCTTTTCCTTATTTCCTCTTCAGCTGGAAGCTGGTTTGTCCTCTCCCATAAAACGCTGTTGCTGATAGTATCCGGCCAATGGATGTTGAGTATTTTGCGTAGACAACTGTTTATAAATACTTGTACCTTCCTGATGATGGCCGTAGTAGTTCTCCACGTTTCAGCTCCATACAGTAGGACTGTCTTGACGTTCGTATTAAAGATTCTGACCTTGAAATTGGTTGAGAGTTGTTTTGAGTTCCATATGTTCTGCAATTGTAGAAATGCTGCCCTTGCTTTGCCAATCCTCGCCTTTACATCTGCATCCGATCCTCCTTGTTTATCAACGATGCTCCCCAGGTACTTGAATGTTTCCACCTCTTCCAGAGTTTCGCCATCAAGTGTGATTGGGTCGGTGTTCTCCGTGTTGCATTTGAGAATCTTGATTTTTCCTTTGTGAATGTGGAGACCTATCGATGCGGAGGCTGCTGCTACATTTGCTGTCTTCATCTGCATTTGGTCGTGTGTATGAGAGAGGAGGGCTAGGTCATCTGCGAAGTCCAAATCATTTAATTGATTCTGAGCTGTCCATTGTATTCCGTATTTCCCTTCAGATGTTCCTCAAAGTATTCTGCCCATCTTTTCCTCTGTTCCTGAATCTCAGTGATTGTCTTTCCTTCTTTGTCTTTGACTGGTCTCTCTGGTTCAAATAATATAGGTATGTCTATTCTTACATCATTTTTTACTATATAAAGATAGAATGAAATTATTGAGAACAGTAGAACAGTAGAAAGTATGTTTAAAAAAAAAAATGATTATTTCATGTGATATTAATGAAGATTAAGAAGAAATTAGGAAAAGACGTTGAAAGTGAATAGGACATTACATTGCCGGAATCATCAAATTGTATCACAAGGCAAGCGCTAACTTGGAATGCGGAAGGGAAGCGGGAAAGAGGAAGGTCAAAGAACACACTACGTTGAGAATTAGAAGTAAACATGAAAAGTATGAATAATAACTGAAAAAAAACTGGAAAAGATGGCTCCGGACAGGGTTGGAAAGAGAATGCGGATGGGTGGCCTATGCACCTCCACGGAGGGTAACAGGTGTAAGTAAGTAAGTAAGTAAGTATGATAAACTTTCTCTAAATTCCACATTCTCCTCATATTTTTATTTGACAAACTGACTAAGAAATGTATTGTTTGTTTGAATCTTCCAAATGATGTTTAGGACTGCAACGAGTCAGTCTCTTTGCTTACAATGCTTGTGAATTAAGGCTATATCGAGACAATACGCACAGTATGCACATATGCCAATTAGAGACTGACTAGTTGCAGTCCCAAACATCAATGGAAAGATTCAAACAAACAATATCAAATGAATCTAAACTTCACCCTACTGCACAAGCAAATGGCTATCGGGACTCAATAGTTGAGTGGATAACGTGATGGCGTTTGAAGCGAAACGTATTTAGTTCGAGTCCCGGAATGAACATCAACAAGTGTGAAATTCAGGTACATCCAGTTGATGAGTCACAAATAGGAAGAAACGCGCGTCAAACTGTATTCCACTACTAGCCACTATCCATCTTTGCCTACAATGACTAAGAAATGTTTTACTGATAAACAAAGAAGAAGAACTCATTTGTATACTTAGTTATTCTACTAACTTTATTCTTTCATTGGCAACATGTTACATGGTTAATTGATCAAAGATGATAATCAGTTATTGATGTAAACTTATGGAATAACATCGAATAATCAAGAAATCAAACAAACTAATAGAAATGATTGTTTATTATAATATTTTAATATTGACTTGTTGTAGTTGATTCGGTAATATCATGATAAGCTTCCGATGTAGGAGGATCAGTCAAGTAGATTTGCTCAACATCTAAATTATAAAAAAGAAAAAAAAGAAAAAAACTTTTCAATTCACTTAATATTGTTTGTTTGAATCTTCCCATTGATGCTTACGACTGAAATTAATCAGTCTCTTATCGGCATATGAGTTAACTCTGCGTATTGCCTCGATATAGCATTAATTCACAAGCACTGTAAGCAAAGATGGATAGTGGCTAGTAGTAGAATCCATGACCGACGTTTCATCCTATTTGTGATTCGTCAACTAGATGTACCTGAAACTCAGAGTTGATGTTCACTGGATTCGAGTCCCAGTGTGATCATCAACTCTGAGATGCAGGTAGATCTAACTGACGAGTCACAAATATGACGAAACGTCGTTCATGGATTCTACTGCTAGCTATTATCCATCTTTACTTACAAAAATAAGTTTCGCTTCATTTCATTGTCAAATAATATTTAACATAAATAGTCATTTTACTGAACTCTGGATAATGCATATTCAATGGAAAAGAATTATACTATTTTAACAAGTAATAATCTAGATAAGTTGTAAACAAATGAAATTCTAAGCATATATATATGATAGCTAGCACTGGAATTCAGGAAGCGCGTTTACTCCCACTTGGGACTGATAAGATTAATGTACCTTCATCCCAGCGTTCATATTCACTGCATGACTCGAATACAGTAACATTAGCTTCAAACACCATCACGTCATCCACTTAGCTAATGAGTCCTGATAGCTACTAACTTGTTTAATGGGGTGAAGTTTAAATTCATTTTATATTGTTTGTTTAAATCTTGTTTGAATCTATTATTGGTATATGTTGTTCGTATGCGGATTGCTTCGATATTACTTTCAGTCCCAGAGTGAACATGAACTCAGAGATTCAGGTATATCCACCTGACGGGTCCCACATAGATTGAAATAAGGGTCACGGATTCCATTGCTAGCCACCATCCATCTTTGCTTATAATGCTTGTGACCTAGGCAATATCGAAATAATCCTCACAGAATGCACATATGTCAATAATAGACTGAGCAATTTCAGTCTTAAACATTAATAGGAAGATTCAAACAAACAATCCGAAATGAATTCAAGTTGATTTCTGTTTATTAGCCTAATATTATGATGAATGAGTTATGAAGTAGAACTATGAATACAGAAATAGTCATTACCAGTATGAGGTTGTGGATACCACACGTGAAATTCCAAATCAGGACCTTCGGTCTCGTGCGTGAACGCTTAACCTCAAGACCACTGGGCCGGAATCCAATTGTACTAACGTCTAACTCCAAACTTTCCACAAAATCATGAGACCATCTTCCATTTTGTGAGATAGATACCTGTCTCTAGCTGACACGAGTCCAATACTAGGACGAAACGGATGTCCAGTGCTTCGAGGTTTCCAGTGGTGGTCTAACATTGATCTATTGATGATCCCAATCAAAGAAATGGTCGTTTGACGATGGTTAATTTGAATTGTGATGAGCTATAAGTTGTTGTTGCTATAAGTTGTATAGTGGCTAGTAGTGGAATACAGGAAGCGCGTTACGTCCTATTTGGGACTCGTCAGCTGGATATACCTACATCCCAGACTTGTTGATGTTCACTGTAGGACTTGGACCCAGTACCATTCGCTTCAAACGTCATAACGTTATCCACTTGACTACTGAGTCCTGATAGCCACTTGCTTGTGCGATGGGGTGAAGTTTAAATTCATTTAGTATTGTTTGTTTGAATCTTCCTATCGATGTGTTAGGACTGAAACTGGTCAGTTTGTTCACTCCTTAAACCTACCTTGGTAATATATGCTTATTATCCAGAGTGATTAGGTGTTAAATGGTTTTCACATTATGTTTATTATTATTATCCTTGTCTATTCTTAACCCCATTTTGCAGTCTAGTTGGCCCTTTGTTTTTTTTACATATGAATGTTCTTAACAAGTATATGTGTGAACAGATTGTTCGAAATGTATTGCGCTAATGCATCATCACATAGTTCCGATAAGCTTCGTCTTCTTATGAGATTATCGAAACAGCTTTCATCAAATCTCATTAAGATTACGAAATAAGAGGTGTTCATATAGTTAAATAGGAGGAATGTATATTTAAACAAAAAAAAGAAAGAAAAAGATACACAAACAAATGGTATGGAAAATGGCAAATAAAAATCATTCACTGACCTTTATTTGGCAATGGAGAAGAGATAAGGTTACTAAAAATTTCCTATGAATACCAAAGCCTCCAAATGCCATGGTACGGCCGAGAGTGGGGAGAGTCCGCTCTCCTTCTCCAAATGCTCTCACATGGCCACGCCTATATAGCTTCTACCAGGGAAGTCCTACTCATCGCCTTCTCACACCATCTAAGAATGCACTAAGAATTATCTAATTGTGTAGTGAACGAGAACGAACACAAATGGGGACAACCGAATGTATTTTAATACAAAACTACAGAATATCTTAGTAAAATCTGAGAACCATCTTAGTAAATACTTCATTTGCAAAATGTTCATTAATTGTCTCAGACTTCATTGTTTCTGCACTTCCATACTATTTTCTTTTGTGTTCTTGCTATTTCCTTCTTGATGTTCTGCTACCAGATATTCTATTCGTGACTAGTGTTATAAACTACTTATATCGATATAAGTAACACACACCACATTTGTATTGAAATGATCATAATTAAATATATGTAATATGCATAAGTTAATTCAGTTTAGCTGTAAAAAAATATTTGTAATGATTTCCCTCAATCATACTAGTTGAATGTAGAAACGGAAGAAGCAGAAGAGATAATGACTTGATCAACTATGAAGAAGTTTGTCTAAATTATTATCAGGATAGTTGAATGGATAATGTTAGTAATGATTATTTTATTATTTTATTTTATTTAAACACATAAATATTGGTACAAGGAAGCACCAGATAAATATGCACTTCACAAATCTCATTAGATTTGTGTGAGGGCTTTGATACTCCCCGGGTGCCCAGACCGAAGCAGGTGTTTTTCTTAGGGGCCCACACCCCGAGCCTTTGACCTAAAGGTCTAGTTCACAAGGCAGTGAAACATCGTGAGGAGATGCATTTCCATGGTAGCAGGTGACCAACAGTTGGTCAATTGAAGCTAGACCACCATGGAAAACCTGGAAGCGCTGGACGTCCGTTTCGTCCTATTATGAGACTCATCAATAGTATGCATCCACGATCCACCACCCTCGAGATTCGAACCCAGAACCTACCAGTCAGTTTATCAAATATGTTAATTATATGAAACTCTTTCAATGTATTGGTATTGTTTGGTTGAATCTTCTCATTGACGTTTAGGACTGCAATGATGAGATTCAACCAAACTATATCAAATGAATTTAAACTTCACCCTACTGCACAAGCAAGTAGCTAAGTGGATAACGTGATGGTGTTTAAAGCGAACAGTACTATGTTTGAGTCACAGAGTGAATATCAACTTTCAGATGCAGGTACATCCATCTGATGAGTCCCAAATAGGACAAAACGTCAGTCATGGATTCCACTGCTAACCACTATCCATCTTTTTTTTCTTAAATATCACTTATCAATATCATAATAATTGGTAATCATAACATAACCAAACGATGTATAAAAGAAAAAGGGTAACCTAAAACTTACCAACATTATTTCCATTATATTCATCATCAACAATCAAATGATGTTTAATATTATTTAAAGGTTTACAATTCACAATACAAAATGATATCATGAATAATGTAATTAATAACATGATAAGTTAATATTGGACCATAACACAACATAAACCTTTATATACTTAAACTGGATGGAGATTTAAAAAAAAAGAGGAGAAACGAAAACAACCCCAACAACAATCAATCGAATAAACGAGTTCATACTTCAATGTTTGAATGTTGTTTGTTACTATCCAAAGTTCAGTATTACGAGAGATGACATATATATATATATATATATGTATGTATGTATGTGTATATATATTCATTAACTAATAATCAATAATCATCTATATCTTTTCAAGTTATCTTTAACTTACCCCTCTCGTAGAGGAGCATAGGTCACCCATCAGTACAAGTTATCTTTCGATGAATTTTATTCAATTCTTACAAAAAAAAACCAAACAATAATAATCATATAACCATCTTGGACTTAGGTCTCATTACATGATTTAATTGCTAATCCGTAATAATTACGTAGATATATACATGGAGATTTAGTATCTTTTGTTATATGAAGATAGAAAAAATAAACTGAACTTATCAAATAAAAAGGATAAAAAGTCATGGTTATATGGACAAATTAAAGACTGATGTTTATCAACAAAGATTAGTAATGATAATCATAGTAATAATGATGGTTATATGCATAGTTATTACCGAATAACAATTAAATCATTCAATGAGATCTAAGTCCAAAATGGTTATGATTAACTTATATGTGATTTATTTATACTATCACTTATCATACGAATACTTATGATATTTTATATAGTTGAGATCATAAGTCAATTGAATGTAGACCACCATAGAAAACCTGGAAGCACTGTACAGCCTTTTTGCTCTATTGTGGGATTCTTCAGCAGTGCTCATCCATGATTCCACCTCGCAAGATTTGAACCCAGGACCTATCAGTCTAGTGACTGGCTACAGGAGGTATTTCCTGGAGCTCAACCAGGTTTGTTGTGAGATAGGAACTCACTGAAGACAGTAGTGAGTGATTGCTCAATTTCGTGGATTGGTTTAAGTTAGTCACTAACACCATCGGATGACGGCCGGCTAAGTGGTCCAGAAATTAAGCGCTCACGTGCAAGACTGATAAGTCCTGGATTTCAATCTCACGAGGCAGAATCGTGGATGCGCAATGCTGAGGAGTCCCACAATGGGATGAAACAGCCATCCGGTGCTTCTAGGTTTTCCATGATGATCTAGCTTCATTTGACTCACGATTTCAACTATATTCATAATATATTATAATTTACCTGGTGGATAATATATAACACTATTACTAAAATGTCCAAATTATAGATTAAGGTAGTTAATTGTTAAGTTAATCACTTATACTGTACATATATATATCTAGATCCCTTTGTCACGTAACTGTTACACTAAATTGTTTACTTTGATTCTCCCTTTCTTGTTTGTTTTCCCGCAAATTATTCGTTATTCATATATCAGTTCAATGAATTTTATTGTTTCTTTCATTATATTTTTTCTTTTATTTAAAAATTCAATAGGTGTGTGTGTGTTACTTTTTGTTATTCAATTTTCTAAATCAAACTAAAAGCTTAAAAAAGAAAATTGAAGATTTTAGAAACAATTAAATGAATAAGCAAAGATGGATAGTGGCTAACAGTGGAATCCAGGACGCACGACACTTCGTCCTATTTCGGACTCTTCAGCTGGATGTGCCTGCGTCTCAGAGTTGATGTTCATGGGAGTGAAGGTTAAATTCACTTAGTATTATTTGTTTGAATCTTCCTATTGATGTTTAGGACTGAAACTGCTCGGTCTCTTATTAGCATATGTGAATACGGTGCGTATTGCCTCGATATTGCCTTAATTCATAAACATTATAAGCAAACATAGACTTCACCTCATTTGCACAAGCAAGTGGCTATCAGGACTCAGTAGGGGAGTGGATAACGCGATGACGTTTGAAGCGAAAGTTTGGGTTCGAACCCAGGACCTTCGTTCTCACGCGCGAACGACAAACCTCTAAACCATTGAGTCAAAGTCTAATGGTGTTAATGTCTAATTTCAATTGACCCATGATTTTACACAACTATTCATCTAATATGTGTGGTAGATACCTGTCTCTACCCGACACAAGTAAGACTTCACCGGTAACGGCTTCTCACTAGAACTCCGGGGAATCCATCTTGAATCCATTCACTAGTGAGGAGATAATGATTATGATCAAAATGGATATTTGTAGAGATTGTAGTAATTTTAATAGCTTACATCGACTCATAAACTCAACTATTCAAATAAATACATTCTCTGTCATTATTATTATTATTGATCGGAGGGTGTTTTGTGGAGAATTTAGTATTTTCACAGATGAAATCATGAGTCCATTGAATCTAGACCACCATCGAAAACCTGGAAGCACTGGACGGCCGTTTCATCCTACTATGGGACTCCTCAGCAGTGCACATCCACGAAGTTAGATATCAACACCGTTGGATTCCGGAAGGCTCAGGGGTCCATCGGTTAAGGGCTCTGGCGTGAGACTGGTAGGTCCTCGGTTCGAATCTCGCGAGTACGGGATCGTGGATGCACATTGATGAGAAGTACCACAATAGGACAAGTTGGCGGTCCAGTGATTCCATGTTTTCCATGATGGTCTAGCTTCAATTGACTCATGATTTCAACTGTGAAAACTATTATCATTATCATTACTTATTATGATTAGAAATAAATATACTACACAACAACTTAATATCATTAATATCCATGTAGAAATCAATAAATTGAATACTGTATTCTTCATATTCTATACTAATCAGGAAGTATATGTATATCTATTGTAAGTGTGTAGTGTGTGTGGGAGAGAGTGAATGAAGACTTGAAACATGGATATTAAAAAGAAAAAAAACGGGGGAAAAAATACAGTACAACATAAATAAATAAACAAATAAATGAATGAATGAATGAACAACGAAATTGATCCATAATGATTTATAGGCGAAAAGTTCACTGGTAGATAAGAATAAAAAATTCATTCTTTACAGGAAGTGGAAAATAATGAATTTTATTCATAAATATAATAGAGAGAATGAGAGAAAGAGAGAGGGAGGGTGAGAGAGAGAGAGAGGATGAGAGTGAGGGGGAAGGGAGAGGAAGAGAGAGAGAGAAAGGGAGATAATAACAAATTGAACAAAGACAAAAGTATCATTAAAATAAAGAATCACTAAGATAAAGATACAGATATACAAACATGAACTAGAATGACAATATATACACCATATTGAAAAGTTTGTATCATTTCCATCGAAAATATTTAAAAAAAATGATGACTATCTCTATGTCAAATAAATCGTTTCATCGAATAGGAATCAAATAGTAATGATGAACAATAATGATGGAAAACAATAAAATATCATATCTATGTCAGTAGCTAATTTCAAGTGGTAATCGACAAATTCATCAGTCAATCAGTAAGTCACCTACAATGTAGGATCAGGAACATGTATGCATAGGTTCAAGTTGCCATAGCTTACTCATTAACACAACAGGATGAACACCGAATTCGTATAAGTAATATATAAAAGAAAGGTCGCATATAAAGATGTAATACAGGGAGAAAGAAAGATATGAATCAATTTTGATCTTATAGTTTAAGGGAAGACAGAGAGTGTACACACCTACACCATTGTGATCGATTCTGAGCGATATTACCTGGAGTCTCCAACCATTGGTTATGATAATCATGCGGACCCCAACCAGTAGTAGAAAACAATGATCAGTAGAGTCCGACTATGTCATGTATGAGGTAACTAACTACAGATGTAATTGGAAAATGATCATGAGGTATTAAAAATCAAATGAAACTAAAACCATCAGATACCAATCTGGTAGTTTAAAATTTTGACATTAGTCATGAGACCTAAATGTTCTGGGTTTGATTCCTAGCAACTCCATAAATGCACACTGATGTAAACTTGGGTTCTCAATTATCGTCTAACTAATATTAGTATGTGATGTAAAATCTGAAATTCAACAATCGCTCACAGTAAAATTAAGCAATATTAGATGGAAAGAGATAGAAACAAACAAGCACCCCAATATAATCACCTTATATCTTTCGTAAGCCTTTTTAACGGATATTTTATTAATAATATAGAAACATCAATATCAAAGTCACTAGAACCATTTAAATATAATTAAACTAACCAAATGAATTATCAATTCACTTGGTATTGTTTGGTTGAATCTTCCAATTGACGTTTAAGACTGCAATTGACCATATGTGCATACTGTGCGTATTGACTGGATATATCTTAATTCACATCCAGCTGACGAGTCCCAAATAGGACGAAACGTGCATTCTGGATTCCACTGCTAGCCACTATCCATCATTGGTTGAAATAAATTATGTTTTGTTACATTTAAGTATTTCATTATCATAAATATCACACTACTTCTAAGTATTGTAAAAAGATAAACTAAAATTTTTTCGATGTAGGTTTGTTCTCTGAGCAGGATGGTTTGGTCGTGGAACTTTTATCGTCCTTCTGAACGACATCATCAGCAAAAATTTCGGGTAGAAGCTACACGACCAAACCATCCAGCTTAGAGAACAAACCTACATCAAAATCAATCACTTGAGCTACAAATCTTCTCTACCATCTCTAAATTTTTTTTCCAGCTACTTGTTTTTAAGGATAATTTAACTAACATTATGCATATGATGTGATTTTATGTATCATATATTATATAACAATAAATACCAAATAAGAAAAGATGATTAGTAATGTTTGTTTGAATCTTCCCATCGATGCTTAGGATTGCAACTGATCAGTCTCTTATTGGCATATGTGCATACTGTACGTATTGTCTCGATATAGCCTTAATTCACAAGCATTATAAGCAAAGATGGATAGTGGCTAGCAGTGGAATCCAGTTTGACGCGCGTTCCGTCTTATTTGGGACGAGTCAGCTGGATGTACCTGCATCTCAGAGTTGATGTTTACTCTGGGACTCGAAACTAGTACCTTTCGCTTCAAACGTCATCACGTTATCCACTCAGCTACTGAGTCATGATAGTCACTTGTTTGTGCAATGGGGTGAAGTTTAGATTCACTTGGTATTTCTTTGTTTGAATCTTTCCATTGATGTTTAAGACTGCAACTGGTCAATCTCTTGTTGGCCAAATGTGTATACTATTCATAATGCCTTGATATTGCCTTAATGATTTACCATAGATTTGTTTGAATAACATTAAAATTGTTTAGTTCAAATTAGTCCATGTTATGAAACTAATAAAATTCAATAATCTCTACAAACCACCACCACCATCATCATCATCACCATTACCCCAGTTACCCTGTATAATGGGTGATAAATAATAAGAATTTTGGTATCTAATTGTCTAAATTGAATTTAATTGTTAAATAATAGAAATAAAATGATATTCCTTGTTTATGTTTAATTGGAATGTAGTCTAATATTGAAATTCCATAATCAATCATTATTTATTAGTGAAACCAATTTTTAGATAGTAATATTTGTCGTTTTTACAGATCAAATAAATGTTATGCTCAACAGTGTTCATTCACGATCCTATACACAAGACTTGAATCCAGGACCTTCGGTCTTATGAGTGAATTCCTAGACTGTATACCTGTGAGCCGGCATTTAATGGTATTGATGTCTAACTTTGATCGATACATGATCTTGCAGAACCATTCATCCATTGTGTGAGGTGAACAATTGTCCCATATTCAACACGGATCGGACTCCACTGGTTACGGGTTCTCATTAGAATTCCAGGAAATCATGATGAA